GAACAAGCGCATGAAGGGTCAGGAGAAAGACTGGCCCGCGAGCAGGGCGGAGACGCGGGCGCAGTACCTGGCCCGGCTGCGCCGCACGGCCATGGCGACGCCTTCTGAATACATCCACGCCATCATGGGCAGCCTGCACAAGCGCTGCGGCTTGCTGGTCGAGGCGAAGGGCGGCCACTTCGCCGAGGGCGGCGGGAACTGAGCGCGCGCGGTTTCCTCGGGCGGCCGCGGCGCGATTCGCGGCGGGCCAGGGCGGCGGGCGACCGCGGCGCAGACCGCAGCGGGCCGGGGCGGCGGGCGGCCCGTAGCGGCCCGCGCCTGGGTTGACCGCGCGAGCGACATGGGGCGCGGGAAGGGGGCCAGTCGCGGCCCACGATCAAGACCAATCCGTGCGTCTACCGCCCCTGCGGCTACAGGGCCAGCAGTCGCAATCGAAAGTAGCTTATCTTCGCATTCTGATTCTGTCCGCCGAGGCCCCCCAGGCGCCAGCGCCCTGGCGACCCCAGAGAGCCCCTCGCACGAGACGCGCAGCAAAAAACGTAGTGCACCAACAATGAACCAAAAGTGAACCAACAGTGAACCAACCGTGAACCTTCGTAAGAACCATAGAACTTCGAATTCGAATGAAAAATAATGAACTTCTCTTTTTTATCGACTTCGAGGTTCACTATGTAATTCGCCATGGTTCACTGTTGGTTCATTGATGGTTCACTGTAGGTTCGGTACAGTTGTTACGCATGTTTGCGCATGCCCAACGATGCCGCGCGAGCGGCATCCATGGGCAGGATCCGCCGACCCCGCCCTGAGGTGCAGGGGGTGCGCCAGGCGCGCCAAGTGCGCCGCGTGCGACAGGTGCGCGGCGCGCGACAGGTGGGCCACGCGCGCCAGGTGAACGAGGCGCGCCCACGTGGGACAGGTGCGCAGACGACGCCAGGTGCAACGAGCTCCCCAATTGAGCAGCCAGGCGGTGGTTTACAATGCCCCCGAAGACCCCGACTGTCCGCCCTGCGTTATTCTCTGTTGCCTGTCGGCTCAGCGGGGCGGGGGCTGGCCCTGGCCGGGCCGCGCCCGGGGATGGCGCTCTCGGTGGACAGGCCAGAGAAGCGCCGCAGGCTCGTGGGGAAGCAGAGCCAGCAGACGGCGCTCCTCGAGCACGTCGTCGGCGAGGAGAACGGGAACGCCCCGCGGGAGGTCTACTTGGTGACTCTGCCGCACGCGGACAAGGAGGGTCTCAAAGCGCCAGCGGCTTTCTCGCGGGAGGAGGTTCGCGACGCTTTCCTGGATTGCTGCGGCGCCCCGGACGCCGACCCCGCGTGGCTCGCCAGCCACCGCGGGCAGGGGGCCGCCCCCGTCGGGGTCAAGAAGCTGATGGTATTCAAAGAATACCACGCGCTAGTGGCAGGCGTCCGGCGGGCGCACTACCACGTGGCCTTGCACCTGGGCAAGAAGCGCAAGTTCCTGACCGTGAAGCGGGCCTTGCTCAACAGGTACCAACTCGCCTCTCTCTGGTCCTGCAGCCGCGACGGGTACTGGTCGGCTGTCGGGCACTGCGCGAACGCGACGCCCAACAAGCCGCGGAGCGCCCTGGCCGTTGACTGCTTGGCTTGGCCCGCGGACCACCCGCCGCTGTCCGCGGCGAAGAGGGGGCCGACGACCGCCCGCGCTTTGGAGAAGCGCAGGACCGCGCGGGAGCAGGTCGAGGGCGAGAAGGGGAAGCCAAAGCCTCGCGTTGAGGAAGTGGACCTGTGGCCGATAGTGGTCAGGTCTGGGATCCGGAATACTCCGGACGACCCCACGCAGTGCGCAAGTTGATGGTGTGCGCTAAGACGTCCTGCTCGCACAAGGTGGTTGTCTGGATGTTCAAGAACGAGCACGTGCTGGAGAAGATCATCGACAAGGCCTGGGCGTGGGAGAACGTGGACAGCTTCCTCGAAGACGCGACGAAACCCGCCATGCAACAGGTCAAGGAGGCCTTGCGGACGCCTTGCGTTTGCGGCGGCCGCTGGTTGCACCACGTCCGCGAGAGCCTGTCGATGAATCGCATCGACGTCCCCAACCTGTGCAGCAGCATCTGAATGTCCGTGAAGCACGGTCGGTCCGAGGCGGCCCCAGTGGTCACCTTGGCTGGGCGCTTCGGCGGAGAGGGGAAGTCCCTTCTCTTCTCGGCGGTGCGGCCGCTGTTCGGCGGTGAGCGCGTGCAGGAGAGGCCAGGCGGGGGGCAGTTTTGCCTCCACGGCTTGGACAAGGCCAAGGCCGCGGTGCTGGACGAGTGGATGTTCATCGATGAGGACCTCCCCCTGTCGATCCAGCTCCTGTGGCTGGAGGGCAAGCCCGTGCCCATGACTATGCCCCAGAACAAGCACGTCGGGCACAAGGTGTACATGGGGTCCGCCCCGATTTTTGTCACCTGCCCCGAGACGGCGGTGGTGGGCCTCTCGTCCGAGTCGTCGCAGCGCCCGCAGGGGCAGGCTGGTATGCTGCTCCGGCGGCTGAAGCTGTACTTATTTACTGTGCCGATTCCCAAGCCGCCGGCCCCGAAGCTAGTGCCGTGCCCGCGCAGTTTCTCGACCCTCGTCACAAGCGAGGCTCTTAAGTTCAAGCCCAAGTAGTCCTGCCGCGTGCGATTGGGGTCGCTGCGCGCAGACATCATCACCATCGTCGTCATCATCACTGTCGCCAGTATCGTCGTTGCCACACCTCGTTGCCCCATCGGGAACTCCACGGAAGGCCCCGATGGCCGAGTCCGCATGCCGCGCCCCGACAATTTCGGCAGACCCCTAGAGCGTTGCACGACCGCCACGGGCACGTCGTGCTTCTGGCCCGGCACGACTACGACCATCATCGTCGGCGCTGTCAGTGCTGTCGCCTCTGGGTCCGTCCGTCAGTCCGCGTGGAGCCTCTTTGGGGGTCGTCTTGGAGCCACCGTGGATCTTCGTAAGGCCCCCCTGGAGGCCCTCTCGGGCGAGGTCTACGCCAGAGGCCCCCTGTTGCATTCCATTCGATTCCATTCATTCCCAACTCCTTCGCACGCCCCCCACTCCTTCCCAGTCCTCGCCACTCCCCTGCAGTCGTCCGCACCCCACCGCAGTCAGCCAACAAAAACTCCGAAACCTCTCATTCCTCCACGCCCCTCCGCACTCTTCCCAACTCCTCCACGCCCTTCCGCACTCCACCCGAAACCTCCGCAACCGCCCCACTCCCCCCCACCCCTCCGCACTCCTCCCGAACCTTCCGCAACCGTCCCATTCCTCCAGACCCCTCCGCAGTCTTCCCAGAACCTCCGCAATCCTGCCATTCTCTCCGCCCCTCCGCACTCTTCCCGAACATCCGCAACTCTCCCATTCCTCCACACCCCTCCGCATTCTTCCCCAAACCTTCGCAACCCTCCCATTCCCCCACATCCCTCCGCACCCCTCCCGAAACCTCTGGAGCCCTTCCAATTCTCTCCGCCCCTCCGCACTCCTCCCGAACATCCGCAATCCGTCCCACTCCCCCCCACCCTGCGCACTCCTCCCAAACCTTCCGCGACCGTCCCAGTCCTCCACGCCCCCTCCGAACTCCTCCCGAAATCTCCGCAATCCTGCCATGTCTCTCCACCCCTCCGCACTCCTCCCAAAACCTCTACAACCCTCCCATTCCTCCACATCTCTCCGCACTCCTCCCGACACCTTCGCAACCCTTTGATCCTTCCACATCCCTCCGCACTCCTCCCAGACATCCGCACCTCCCCCATTCCTCCAGACCCCTCCGCACTCCTCCCGAAACCTCCACAACCCTCCCGTTCCTCCACATCCCTCCGCACTCCTCCCGAAACCTCCGGAGCCCTGCCATGTCTCCCCACTCCTCCGCACTCCTCCCGGGACATCCGCACCTCCCACATTCCTCCACGCCCCTCCGCACTCCTCCCGAAACTTCCGCAACCCTCCCATGCCTCCACATCCCCTCGCACTCCTCCCAACCCTTGTGAAACCGTCCCAGTCCTCCCCACTACTCCGCACACCTCCCGAAAGAGACCTCCGCAACCCTCCCATTCCTCCACGCCCTTCCGCACTCCTCCCGACACCTTCGCAACCCTTTTATCCTTCCACATCCCTCCGCACTCCTCCCAAACCTTCTGCAACCGTCCCATTCCTCCCCACCCCTTCCGCACTCCTCCCGAAAGAGATTTCCTCCACCCTCCCATTCCTCCCCACCCATCCGCACTCCCCCCGAAACCTCCGCAACCCTCCCAGTCCTCCCCACGCCTCCGCACTCCTTCCACACCTCCCACAACCGTCCCATTTCCCCTCAACCCTCCGCACTCCTCCCAATCCTCTGGGATTCTCCCATTCCTCCAGACCCCTCCGCACTCCTCCCGAAACGTCTCACCCCTTGCCCCAGCGTCTTGCCCCCAGGAGCGGAACCTCCATCTTCCTCCTATTCATTCTCCTCGTTCTCCTCCCCCTCCTCCCTCCTGTTCCTCATTCCTCCTTGAGGGTTGTGGGTGATGATGATGGTGCTGCTGATGATGCTGCTGATACTGATGATGGTGATGAGGATGCTGATGATAATGATGATGATGATGATGATGATGATGATGATGATGATGATGATGATGATGATGCTGCTGATGATGATGATGATGATGGTGGAGATGATGGTGGAAATGATGCCACCGATGAGGGCGATTGTGATTGTAATGCTGACGTTTGTGTCATCTGTACGGTCTCCTCCTCTCCCTCCTCCCTACTCCCACCTGCAAAACAAGATGGAGGACCGTACATGGACATTACATTCGAACCCCGTGGCCCAAGATGCCCCCCCCGACCCCCCGAAATTAATATTGATGGCGTGGCGACGGGGGGGGCGTGAGTGGACAGAAATATTCGAACCCCAAAGCACCGCCTTTACTGAGATCAACATTGATGTCGGGGGCGCGGGGGTGATTTAGAATCTCCCTTGAATGTGTGAGGGTTCGAATATATTGTCCATCTACTGGAGGGCGGCCGGGAGAGCGACACGGTGGTCCTTCGGAGGTGGTAGCTTGATCGCTGTCGTTGTCGATATACACCCCCTTCCACCCACGACCGGCTGCAGACCCAGGGCCATGCGGGCACCCGCCCGCCAGCACTGTCAAAACACGGTGCAAGTGGCTCACATTTTGCGGCAACAGCTGGACCGTGCGCGGGCGCCCCATGAGCACCGTGCATGGTCGTTGGCGCTGTCCAGGCCTGCCGTCCCCGTCAAACACCAACGCATCTAGCCCACTCTATGGAACAACCTGGGACGTGCGCGGGCGCTTCGTGATCAAGTGGCATTGGCTTTTTGTCAGGGACGGCGGCGGTGCCCACATTCTTCTGCCGAGCAAACTGAAGCCTTCATTCCCGGCGCCCCCAAACCAAACAGCCTAGAACGCAAGCCCGAACACGCAAAGAACAAGCACTGGTTCCGCATTGTGTATGGACAATCGGCTTCAGGAACAAAAACGATGGGTGAGTTGGTGATGGTGCTTCGGGCTCCACACTTCTCAATGACTGCTCGGCACTGCGCTTCCGACGGGACTCATGAGCTCAATGGGATCGGGGCCCCAGGCTCGGGTGCTGCCTTTGAAGACAGCCAAGAAGCCCCCAACACATCCCAAAGGGTCTCCAAGAGGTCCCCAAAGCACCCCAGGAGGCTCCGAAGAGTCGCCAGGAGCCCCCCAGGAGGCCTTCAAGAGACCCCGATAGACATCCCAAGAGGCTCCGAGAGGCATCCAAGAAGCCTCTGGCCCGCGGAGGCTCCCTGAGCTCTCCAAATTAACAGCCGCGCCTCCCCGAGCGGAAGCAGTGGAGCAAAGAAGTGCATGCATTGACACAGAGCATGTAGCTATCCCTCCGCGCCCTCCCCCCTGCCTCCTCCAAGCGTGCTGAAGCGACAATTTTCTGCGGCGCATCCCGTGCGTGTTTCTTTCTTTGGAAGAGCAGCCAACCGCGCTCTCTTCTGCCTACGCGTCCTGCCGGATGCTTGGCTTACTCTTGTTCTCCGATAGGGGCAGCTCCCCTGGGCATCGTTCTTGAATGGGCTGGTGGGGATACGCGAAGCGTTACGAAAATCTTTCCGATGTACACTGTGTCCTCCTCCTCGTCGAAGACATGGTGCACATACGGCGCACTCAATTCAACCCCGACTCCATCTACGACGCCTCTATGGAGATCATCTTCTGGCCAATTTTCGGGCGAAGGGACAAACTCCAGGGCCATGCCCATCTCTGCTGCAACCGCTTCCATCACCAGCACGAACGCTCCTCCATACGCCTTTGTTTGAAAGTCGTACGTGTGAAACGGTGGCCAATCCTCCTGGTACATGCCGATGCGAAAATTGAGGCCGCGGCAACACTGGTGTACATGGCTATGCTCCCCCGAAGATGAGGATTCGCATGACGCAAAACACATTGTCGCGGCCCACCACGCACGCATGTGTTTCAACTTGCTTCCAACAACGTGATACAATATTACGGCTTCAAACAATTCAGGAGGTACTTACCCACACTCTCTCAGTAAAACGTTGGCACAATATTTGCCATGACGGCCAGGGAGCGAGTTGCTTGTTCAGGAAGGCCCAGCCCAAATAGCTCAAATCAAAATGGCTTCAGAGAAAGACTTGAACATTCCACCCAGTCCTTGCGCCCTCTTCTCCACCTCCCCATCTCCCTCCTCCTTCTCCTCCCCATCCTCCTCCCTCCCCTTCTCCGCGTTCCACTACTTCCCCGACCTATTCCTCCTCCTCGTCGGCGTTGCACGGCCTAGAGACGTGGACGCTCACGGACCCCCTCGCCAGCATCTACAGCGGACGCAACGACGCAGGCCCCGCACGATCACCAGAACGCCCAGGCGACGCACCATCCACTGACCACCTCCCTACAACAAAGAAAACACGAAAACGGACAGCATGAACAACGACATACCGAATCGCGACTCCGGCTCTAGCACCGCCAACGACGACATCGCCAACAACCCAATACAACAAGGGACACCCGCAACGCGAGGCCGGCAAACTGAGGACGGTCACGAGGGGAGGTGCCATGGAACCACGGGCCGACTACAACAAAAACGATTCACGCGGCATGCGGAGCACCCCGTCCCGTGCAGCACCACGACATCGTCTGCTGGCTAACGGTGCAAAAACACATGGCGTGGCGCATGGCCTCGAGGGTCGCCGACCACGACACCACCAGGAGGACATGGAAGGCGCTGCGGTGGCAACTTGGCACCAACCTGCAACAGCGAGGCCAACGACACCACGGAGGTCAAATGAGAAGGTGGGACGACGACCTCAACCATTTTCTTTGCGAGAAGATTCCGACTTGCACCCGCCAGCCGCGGCAGCCTGCGAAAAAGGACGACCCAACGATTTAAGCTGGGTGCGAACTGCCGAGGACGAGGTCGCTTGGTCTCAGCTCGAGGACGCCTGCGCCAACGCCCTGGCAAGCACACAGAGACCCTTGAACGGCGCGGCAGCCCGACGGCAGACACCGTGCACGCCCACATCAGCACCAGAGCTTGTGGCGACCAGCGACGAGCACTCCGACCAGGACAGGACGGGACACCTCTCTCCTCCCCAATCCCTCCACCTCTCGCAACCTTTCTGTCTCGCGCAGCCCCGTACATAGCACATCCTGGACACCACGGCCTCCTCCACCAAGCCTCAGCTAGGCCCGGGCGCCTGTCCGCACCCGTGGTCGCTCGCACGCTCGCTTCCTCCTCCTCGTCCTCTCCCCTCGATGTGGAGCTCGTCGAGGTCGTCCTCCTCTCCATCTGTTCTGTGCATCCTCGCACTCCTCCGCCTCCCCTCCATTCTTCTCCTCCTCGCCCTCCTTTCGCTCCCCTCCCTCCCTCCCTCTTTACCCTCTCCATCCTCCTCCTCCTCCTCCTCCTCCTCCTCTTCTGTCTGCCTCCATATTCCACCTTCTCACTGCTCCACCTCTTCCTCCTCACCCTCTTCTTGCGTTCTCCTCTTCCTCCTCCTCCTCATCCTCCATCCCTTTTCCTTTTGCGTATCACCTCCTTGTGGGCAGACTGTCCGTTTCGCCTGGGATTTCGTTACCACGTATGCCTCGGACGTCGGGACTTTCCAACAATTAGAAACCTGGAGAGCACACGACTTTCGACACGTGGCTCTCGCCTGAGCACCGCGCGCAATCGTCTTCAACGCCCCCCACCATTTGTTTCCACCATGTGCTCTTGCGTTAGCGCTGCGCAAAATTGCTTTGAATTCTTCCGAGGGTGGAAAAAGGACCGTTGTCACAATGTGGCTCTCGCCTTGGCACCGCGCGCATTCGTATTCACGGTTTCGAACTGACAAGGCTAGCTCGCCATGGAGACGATGAGGAGGAGGGGGGCAGGCAGGGGGGAGGCCGAGGAACGAGGAGGGAGGCGATGGGGGGGGCGAGCGGGGCGCGCCGAGCGGGCCGAAAGCAACGATCTCTGGCGGGGGATGGGGGGCCGTTTGCCATCTCGCCGCGAGGAGGTGGGGGAGGACGACATGGGGCACGCTGAGAAAGCGAGGGCACCGCCCTGAGGCGGGGAGGACCCTCCCCTCCGCCATTTCGCCCCCTTTGCCATCCCCGCGAGGGTGCGGAGGAGGGTGGAGGATGGAGGAGGAGGAGGAGGAGGAGGAGGAGGAGGAGCCAGGAAAATGGATGGTTGTCAGGAGGAGCGATGACAGGGATCACAGCCATGGTGGTGATGCCAAATTGCCCGACAGCGCTCCGACGGTAAAGGGGAGGGCCAACGTGCAGCCACAACGCCCACCATCCACACCAACTCACAACAGCACTCAAACGAGTTGACAGGGCCCCATCCAGTCTTTTGGTGCTTGCCAGCCAACAAGCGCTCCAAGGCCACCTTGGGTCCACATGCGAGCCGCTCCCGGTAACGACTCTTGAGGAGTGTCCCCAGTCTCTGCGAGCAGTAAGCCCCGTAGTTGGAGCAAAACATGCAAGGCCCAATCGAGCTCATGCAGTGCCCAAAGGCGGCAAACCCCCTTCACCCGAACCCGGCGCAGAGGCCAACCCCTCCTGTATGTGCCCACGGCCCCAGGACCACCCGACGGCTCCGAACCGCCAACGTCAGCAGCAACCTCCGCCGCAAGCGCTAACTTGACGTCCTCTGGCCTCGCAATCGGGGAGGCGCCAGCAAACCGTCCGCCTGGGGCAAGCGCAACTCTGGCCGTGCAGGCCTGCAGCTCGGACAGCATGCACTTGTGGCCACCACCAGACGCCATCCACTTGATCGTGGACGTCGTCTCAGCCTGCCTCAAACAATTATTGCGCACCTGGTGGCCAGGTCACGGAACCCGCATCTCATGCTTCTTAAAACCCAAGGGGCACGCAGGGGGGAGGCCTCTCCGCTTGGTTTGGACCCCAGGAGCCCGACCGCCAACGCGGCGCTTCGACTCGAGCACCATCGATTTCACAACGTCCGCCAGCGAAGGAGTCTGCGAAGCAAGCTGCGCAGCAGCCTGCGCAATGAATAGTTGCACTCTCGTGTCTCGCCAGCCCAAGTGGTTCGACAAGGCACTCGCGATATGCTCGAAAAGGGCATGTCACGGGCCCCCATATTTTCGCGACCGAAGTTGCCTAACTATTTCCAAACCGCCATCATGGTAGCTTCTAAGGGTGTCGCATCACGAATTCACGGGGCTCCATCCAGGTGGGCAGGGGCCTGAACAAACTCGGGGGGGGGGGGCCCTCGGACCCAGCGCGCTGCGCCGCTTCCCGCCAAGTCGACGCGTGAGCCCAAGACCAGCCGTCCTGGTCAGCCCCTACACAATCTGAAAGGCACAGACATAATCTTGGCATACGCAAGACGCTCTGCAGGGCCGCCTCTCGCTCAGCAGCACCAGCCATCTGGTTCGTGCCTGGGGGCGAGCCAAACGCCGCGCGAGCAGGAACGCCCCCCCCCCTCCCCCCGAGCTTGCTATCCACATCGGCGTATCTCAGGCATGGCCAGGAGCATTCCCAAACCGCCGCCGAAGGCCCAGCCGGGCCACGCTTCAATATCAGACTCCCGATCCCCCCCCCCCAGGACTGCGCAAGGAGCTTCCAAGAGGCAGACGGGAGGGGTTTA